TGTGTGTGTGTGTGTGTGTGTGTGTGTGTGTGTGTGTGTGTGTGTGTCACTGTTTGGAATGTTCAAAGGAAGGTTAGGGAAGTTTAAGTGTTTTTCTTCCTCCACTGTTTGTGCTACTCCTGTTTTGTATCTTCTGCTGACTCTTCCAGTGGTTCTCTCCTGATTTCAGATATCTCGTAAACTTTCTGATTTAAGAAGTGGTTCCCAAAAGTGTTTATGACTGTTCTTTTTTTAATTTAATCATTTTTTAAATATTTGCAATTCTCTGGCTGAGCTTGTTACATTTCTTCATGGGTGTGTCTTAAGAAATTCTAGGCAGTTAATTTATTTGTGGCAACTTTGTTCTTACAACAGAAGACATTGACAAATGGGCAGTGCTCAAAGAACAAGTTTGTGTTTTGAGTATTGGAGTATAAATCAGGCTTATTATTCTATTTTTGTCTTTTTAATCCTCTCTACAGTTCTTTGTTGATTTTTTTTCCCTTTTTTTCCTGAGTGTGACATCATTACTCGCCGATTTAACTGGAATGTTTGGTAACTCCGCCTCTCCTCCTCCTCCTCCTCTCCTCCTCCTCCTCCTCATCTACTCCTCCTCCTGTCCTCATTGTTTGGCTGTGACTGCTGAAGAAAGCTGATCTCTTCACTCTTGGCTTTTTTCTTTCCGTTGTAAGTAAGTTTCTTGTAAACTTTCTAAGTAAAAGCTTCATAAATTAGTTTACATTTTTTACATTTTGAACTTTAATGTCTGTTGACATTAAAGTTAACATTGTTGACAGTAGAGTTTTACAGGAACTGAAAACCTGAAGGTAAGGCTGTGTGTATCTGTAGGACAGGGTAGTGAAAATATTTTCATGCGAGTACATCTGTTTAGTTCAAGCTTAGGTTAGTTAAAGATCGTGTTGTTTTGAGGAGGGTAAGTTCGAGCTTTTATTACGCTCTTCATGGACTTTGGATGTTGGGTTGTGATATCGGTGTGAAACTGCACACGCACTTGTTTGTGTTGCACAGTTTTGTATCAGAACTAGTCATGTTTATCCATGTTTGCAATGATTGTTTGTGTGCGTCCATGTTCCTCACTGGAATGGGCTGGACTATGTTAACATGCATATTAATGTGCATGTGGGCTTGTCTTTGTGCCATGTTTTGTAAACTTTCCATGTGTTTTCTGTGACCTAGTCTCTTGGTGGACACACAGTCTTCTTTTCACTCTGTCACTGTTTGCTGGCAACCATTGATTTTCAGTTCAATAGTCCCGTTTTGTCCTACAGCTATTTAAAGTTAAAGTGATCTCAGGGACAAATGAGAAAATAAATACTTTGAGTTTTTTGATCAAGGAAGAAGCAACAAGTTTACCAGATGAGAGCTCGAGCACAATTGGATTCTGAGAAGAAGATTGTCTGCCTTTACCGGTTAGGTGATGGGATACAAAGACAGATGACAAAGTTGGAAAGAAACAAATGCTGGACAGGTTGGTCTAGTCAATTACTGTACAGTAGATTGGCAATTGAAAGCTGGAGATATCTTTAAAATGTTTCACGTAGTGGAAAAGCCTCCAGCTATGACGTTAATGTACACACACAATTAAAATACATGGAGGTTTAAATAGCAGCATCAATATTTGTTGTTTTCACACATGAACACTAGAGATGTTATGGAGAACCTGTGGACTGCTTGGTCGATATTTTTTCTGTAGTTTCTGGTCACAGCTGCAGGGTTGGCTTTTTTTTTTTCTCCCCCTGTTAGAAATGGGCTTTCACATCTGGAAATTTGAAGGACAGTATGTGGGGGAGGCAAGATGTGATCCAGAAAGCCAGAAAAGCTGTTTTCTCGACATCTTGGCAAAAGAGACTTCTTGTTGTGCTGATTGGAACATTTTTGCAAGATGTTTCATTTCCCTGAAACATCTCAAAAGCACAGAGACAACAGTGCAGGTCTGATTAGAACATAGCTTATAAACACCTAAACCAACATGATCCAGGGGTGTCAAACTCATTTACTAAAGGGGGCCAATTTTAAAACCTTTTTCAAACTAAGGGCCAATTTCAGAATCTACATGAACTCAAATCAGATACCCAACATCTTTTCTTGGTTCCAGGTTCCTCAAAGAGGGATTGATTGGTCTCATTTAATGCTCTCTGTTGCACTTTTGACATCATAATCAAAGATTACTGAAATAATTCAAGTGAAAAAAGTATTTTACGTTTAACATATCATTTTGGGGGCCAGAGAAGATGTCAACAAGATCCACATTTGACCCCCGGGCCTTGAGTTTGACACATGTGATATGCTATTGGCTAACGAGAACATTTTAATCTACACAGTAAAGGAGACTGATGCTGTGTCCCTCATTTTAGACTTTTGTAAACACTATTAACCACAAATACTACAGGAAATGGACAACAAAATGCTCTCTTGGGACATAAATAATTTCTAGGTAGAATGCTAGTTTGGTTATAGAGTGCCTTGTACAGTTAGAAAGATTTTATTTCATTCTTAATTTTATAAGAAGCTAATGAATAGAAGCTGAAACAGGAGACAGCTTCTAAACCTTCATCCATCCATCCATTATCTTTTACCCGCTTCTTCCATTTTGGGTCACGGGGGTCGCTGGTGCCCATGTCCAGCAGTCACTGTGCGAGGGGCGGGGTACACCCTGGACAGGTCTCCAGTCCATCACAGGGACACATGGAGACAAACGAGACAAACAACCATTCACTCTCTCACTCACATCTAGGGACAATTTAGAGTTACCAATCAGCCTAACATGCATGTTTTTGATCTGTGGGAGGAAACTGGAGTACCCGGAGAAAACCCACGCATGCACGGAGCGAACATGCAAGCTCCACCCAGAAAGGCCCCTGGACCGGGATTTGAACCAGGGACCTGCTCGCTGAGAGGCAGCAGCTCTACCAGTTGCGCCACCGTGCTGCGCGCTGCTAAACCTTGAGTAGCATCTTTTTGGATGAGCAGAGATCTTTTCAGAGAGATTTTTGGATAGTCTGACAAGTAGTTTGATGAAACAACAAAAAAGGAGACCTCAAAAAGTTTATTAGCATATTTTATTCACTTTTTCTTCAAAAACCAATTTTTTTTATTTTTTTTTGCATAATCAACCCAAAATTAACAAAGTCCCACATGCTGCATTTTGTTTTCAAGCTTGACTTGGCTTTCTTTTCCTGGAGGACACATGCTGGTTTGTCACCAGTGTGTTGAGTCAAATGACAGCCATTCATGGCTCTGGCTTCCTCTGTGGTGAGCTATTATCTTGTGCTTTCTGAAGCCCTGCTAAAATGTCAATCCGCCTGGTCCCACATGTTTGTGGGAGTGGAAAGATGCAAATAAGCATAAAAATGTGTTTACTAAAGGGATGTAGAGTTCTCCAAGTCGGAGTATCTCCTACACACTGGTGAAGATTCTCAGTCATCCAGGACATGGCAAATTCAAAAAGTTCCAGGACAAAAACAACTGGACATCCGAGGATGAGAAGCAAAACGTCTTCTGTTACAAATAAATTCCAGTTGTTTTTGTCTTGAAATCTTTTGAATTTATCTCCTACACAGGTTTCAGCTTCATGTTAGGGACAGTTGTCAAAAGTCGGGCTGAAAAAAGAAACTGTCCAGATGACCCGACTGAGAGTTATTGGATGTTTGTGAGGATTGATGGGTCAATCTGCATATGCAACTAGCTCATCTCAGCTTTATAACTCGAACCCCTCACTCTCTGTTCTTTGAATTGAGAAAGCTCCTCAGATGAGAAACGAAACATCTTTTCTTAAAAATAAATTCCAGTTGTTTTTGTCCTGAACTTTTTTGAATTTATCATGTCACCGTTTTAGAGAATGTGTTTTTGTTTATAAGAATGGGGGGAAAATAGCTTTAAAACTAGAAAGTCACATTGTTCCTTGGTTGACTACTACAAATCCAGCTTGTTGGTTGTGCTGGTGGCAATCGAGATGTTGTTGGCATTTGATCAGCAAGTTGACAGCAGAAGACATTCCTCATGTTTTTTTGTTGTTGTTGTTCGATTTGTATAAAATGGTGAACTTTAAAAAAAACCTTTTCATTACTTCGCATTTTTTGCTTCCTGAAGCTTAGCCCCCTCATTTCCTCAGTCACACTGTGGGATTTGAGACAATCAGTTGTTTCTGTATTCAGTCTGCCTTCTTGTTCTCAGTTCTTCACCCATTCTCTACGTTTCCAGTTGCACTCATTCTTCTCTCTACTTTGAATCTCTTTGGGTTTTCTCCTCCCTCTTTCTGTAAAATCCATTCCTGGTGATGTAATGATGAAGCATGCGTATTTGCGCTCTTTCTCATCTGCGTTTAATATTTGAACATGAACATGTGACAGTCTGGGTGGAGTTTTGGCATAATGTGCAGTAAAAATCTACAAAGCGTAGACTTTGTGTCTGTCTCTCTATAGGTTGAGTTTCCAGCCAAGCGCAATCAGCCTCTGATGGACGTGCCCGACTGAAATGCTTTCATCTTGTTTTCACAATATTTTCTTTCTTCATCCTTTTTTTTTTCCAACTTTAGTCCATGTTACTGGAAAGGGCAGATGGAGGGCTGTGATTTTTAGACACACCCAGATAAAATCTCGGTCTCTGTGTCTCTCTGGGGGAACTTGTCCAAGATTCTTGTATTCCCCTCTTCTCTCCTCCCTGTGTTATTCCATTGCTCCCTTTTCATAGGCAGCAGATGTTGAAGGGTGAGGCCTTTAAACTCTCAAACAACCCATTTCCTCATTGCACTTTGTTCCGATTGGTCTGTGTCACAAGGTCAAAGGGAGCATGCTTGCTTTTCTTTTACTGCAGCACACTGACCTACATAGATTTTCACATGTAGGTCCAACAGGATGGTTTTGTTTTTCCTGCGTGTTGTATGACTTCACCGTGAAATAACAAAATGTTTTATTAATCTATTCGTGAAAAACGGGTTTGTTAAATAGAATGGTCTTATGGTTAAAATTTGTAGCATGCATGGCTATTTCTATAGTAGAATGTAAAATAGCCTGCAGAGATTAATTAGAAAGATTGATGTTTCTGGTCTATAATACATTGATCCAGTACTGCTTTTCAGATTTGATGGTCAAAGTGGACAAAACATAAAAGGTATAAAATAAGCTATTTAATTTTCTCATGTGAGAAAAGCTAAATTTATGAGGGACCACCAGATAGTTTTCTTTATTTGTTTTATACAGACTCTCAATAGTTGTATCAGTCTAAAAAGGCATCAAATAGTTTTAAATGCTCCAGAGGGATCTTGAGTTTTTTTTAATTTTTATTCAAAGATAAACAATTTGAGTTTATTTTGTTTTTATTTACGTTACTGCCAAACATCATTTATTCTTTTCCAGCAGGACCAAGAACCACTTTTAGATCCGAAGTGAATCTTGCATCTAACTTTTTGTGTTTATGTTACTGCATAACATTTTATTGCAGACTAATTTGAGGTTAGAGGCTGTATCAGATCTGTCATTGAGCAAACATTGATCCATAACTGGTATTAATGGGATTCTTAGGACAGCTGGGACGTTTGGGTTTAGGAAAGCAACTTTTCAACTGAAATAACAATTAAAATATATTTTATGGAAGATGATGTCAGGCACTCCATTTATCCATAATTCATTTAAATTCTTGGGGCAGTCATGGCTGAGTGGTTAGAGCAGTCGTCCTCCAATGGGAGAGTTGGGGGTTTGAATGTGATAAAGCTCTGATTCTTTATAGAGGTATAGTAGAGTGCTGTGTGAATGTGTCAATGAGGCACAGATTGTGTTGTAAAGAGCTTTGAGTGTCTTGATAAAATAGAAAGGTGCTGTGTAAGTACAGTCCATTTACCATTCTTGTTGAGTCAACTGGAAGACACGACGTGACCACTTTGAATTTTTGATTTGCTCCTCACATAAATGAAACCAAACTTCTGCTCATTAAGGCTAGACATATCACCCATTGTAAGATTCACAAGGTCCTTTAAAATGAAGTGATTTACAAATGAACTGTGGCATTGTGATTTACAGCTGAGGAATGTTCATGTGGACGTCTTTAGATGGCACACCGCAGCTTTTTGTTTAGAGCTGCGAGACACAAAAGAAAGCAGTTTGTCTCAGTGACTTGTGTGTGTGTTGTGGACATTTCTTGTGCAATTTTAATCTCTGTTAATTGGTTTGTTTGTTTGGATGTGTGTGTTGGAGCTCAGCAGAGCTTAAATAGAGGAGGAGTGCAGTTCGTGTGTGACGAAGTGCTGTGGAATTTCTCAGACAGACTGAAAAAGAGCTTAACACAAGACAGACGTGTGTGTGTGTGTGTTTGCATGAATCAAAATGAAGTTGCCTCTTTAAAAACATCAATCCTTTCACATGAGCATGCATCAGGAAATCCTTTCCACAGTTTTAACTTTATTCTGATTCTGTGTTTCCACCTTCTCCTTTTTTATTTTAAGATCTACAGGATTTTTTGTTCAGCTGTCCTCTTGAGGCCTTAATGTTAGGAGTCCTGAGATTGTTGTCACTCACAGAGATCTGCCTTTGTTCATCATCATAATTTAAAAGCAGTACAGTAGTCCCTCGTTTATTGTGCATCTGTACCCTGAAGCCTCGCGATAAGTGAAAAACCACAAAATAGGAATAGTAGTACAAGTATTAAGTAGTATTAAACACTTCCCACACTCTTACAATATTCTAAACAATGTTTCTAAACTCCAAACGCTCTAAAAGAGCACAGAATGTCATGATTTCAGCTCCCTGCCTCTTCTCTTTGCCACATGCAAGCGCTCTTGGCCACGCCCACTTCTCAGCTCTGCACGCAGAACAGCTGACCAGTTGCAGCAGGAAGCTTATCCCGCTGCTTTGGGCTGCACAAAGGTGCAGCAGGTGCTAAATAATGTAAAATAATTGATTTTAAATAAAAATTCCTTGCCGATCGTGTGTCTCATCCATCAATCAGCCAATTGTGGGTCATGTCAAATGATTAAACGAGTCCCGAGGCTCAATGGGACTAACCTGTATAAATTAAGGTTGAATGAATGTCCAATCTTATTTTGAAAAACCGCAATAGAGCGAATCTGCGATTAACCAACAGCGAAGTAGCGAGGGACTACTGTATTACTAATCCACTGTAGCAGCAAAACCAGTTTATTGTTCAGTGACTGAACACCTTTTTTCTTTTAGTGTTTTGACACTTTGTTGATTGTTGATTTTTTTTTTTTTACAGATTGTTTTCTCTAGATTTACTGTATATGGAGTATTAAATACATTTTAGACCAGTTTAGCTTACTTTACTCTTAGATAAGTGTTTATTTTCTTTTAAATATCAGTAATTACTAAAGATCCTCAAACATCAGCAGATTTTGAAAGAATTTACATGTTTGAATTGCACAACACTTTATTGGTTGTTCCAGCTCAGAGTACAAAATAAGTCCACATATGCAATTAATTCCCAAATAATCCTGTCATTTTTTCCCATAATGATATGGAACACATTCATTAGAAAACGCATAAATATTAGTTTGCACACCAAATATCAGTATTAACAGGTACTATAGAGGTAAAGACTCATCATTTGTGTCATCTACTGACTAGACAGTTGCTGCAGGTGCAACATAGCAATGCTTACTGTAGATTAGCTGTAATGATTTAGTTCTCTGCCAACATTCAATGCAGTGCAACACATTCTCTAAAGTGGTTTGTTTTTTCCTCTGTGCCGTGTCATCTACAGGCTCTTTGCATAAATGTGCAGTGCAGCGATTTGCTGGAGACTTTGAGCCTGATTTTCTGCGGTGCAGAAGTGAATTGTTCGACTGGTATGGAAAAATGTCCAACCCCTGAATACATCGCCAGTGCACATTCACAACCCCTGCAGGCCGAAATAATCAGACATAACCTCAACACAGGTACAATATGCATGTGTGCATGTTTGTTTTCTTTTGTACAGCACTTTGGTTGGCCTTGTTGCTGTTTTAAGTGCTATATAAATAAATTGGTATGGTATGGTAATATCTGTGCCTTCAGGGGGGCATTTCTGTTTTTGTTTTTGTTGGTGTTTTACGTTAGAATTGAAGAGAGTTTTTATGAAACCTAAGCAGAAATCTGTCAAATAAAACCCAAACTGATGTCTTTCTGCGTTGCAGCACCTATAACAACTATTCACTTCCTATTATGCTTTTGTTGCTGTCATAATTCAATCATAGTCAGTACAAACTGACCTTCTTTTTACTCTAATAAATGTTGCAGGTTTAGGTTTAAGATAAATATAATGTTATTCCTGTAGTTTCTATTTAGCTTGATCTTGAGACATTCACCACTTTCCAATAATTATGTGAAAAGTGACTTTTGTTGCTTACGCTATATTTGCTTGTTTTTTCATTGTCTTTGTGTCACACTGCAGAGGTAGTCGATAGACTGATTTATTCGTGCTACATTACAAAACGTCTGCTGGACAGGTTTGGTGTTTTGAATTGTTAAAGTTGTTAGTCCTTTCTTTCCTCTGTAGAGCTGCCACAGTTACAAGTAGACAGCAGTATGGATCTGGAACATTACCAGCCGTCACCATGTGCGTCTTACACGGGCTTTCTGTTCAAAACTGCCTCCATGACCCGGGCTGCCACAGAACGCAAGCCCAAAGAGGGTACGTGGAAAAAATTGTGTAGCAAGCACCAACACTTGCTCTTGCTGAAAACATTAAAAAGTATTTATTTTGAACAAACTGTCTTGTAGAGTTATATCAGACCTCACCAAACACTGAGGTCCGTCAACCTTGCCGCTAACACTTTCATTGCAGTCCCCTCTCGATGAAATACTTAAAACGCCCGTTTGTCCGTGTGTGCAGAGTTCAGTCGTCGTTGGTGCACGTTAAACGATGGCATCTTCAGCTACTATGAAAGTGACAAGAACTCCAACCCTAACGGAGTGATAAAGGCGTCAGAGCTGCTCTGTTTGGCTGTCGACACACCTGAGAAACATGGGTACACACACATGCACATCAGTCTGTTTTCACACATTTAAAGGGATAGTGTGGTGGTTTGTTGTAATATTTTTGTTAAATAGTTATCAATATTTATTACCTTAAAAAGTCTTCATCCAGGCCAGGCTAATGGCCTGCCATATAAAGGCTCATTGATTCTTTCTGAGGGTTAAAAAGTCCTTTTTTTTTTTTTTTTCCCAAATGACAGACCACTGTAAAAGAACTACAAGTTCTAATATTAAACCTTGACACGTTTGCATGAGACTGTTTAGTTTGCTGTTTTCTTAACCAAACAGTGATTGTGTTACTACACAATTGTAGGTGTGCTGAGCATACACCATTTATGCCGAAGCCTTAGTGTATCAGTCCACCAGGAGTTGAGGAAACGTTTGACTAAACACGCTAATCAGGTGAACTGATACATTCGCAGCCTCAACACTTTTGGCATAAACATTTTTTAGAGGTCAGTGGAACCTCTACAACAGTGTAGATTTAATATGATCCCGTGTGGCGTTCTTTCACGTCACTATATTGTTTTTGAGAGAAGTTTTATAAATTTGAAATTTTATGAAAAACAGTCCCTTGTTATTAGCCTAGCCTGAATGAAGACTTTTTCCAAAGTTACGTTAAATCTTCCTTCACTCCTTCTCAATTTCTTCTGAACCCCAGGTTTGAATATACCTTTGAACTGTACTCTGAAAATGAGCGTATTTATCTGTTCGGCACTGATGATGCAGACAGCCACAAGGAGTGGGTCAAGTGCCTTGCCAAGGTAAACACCGTTTTCTCCTCCATCCTCAGAAGAACAAATCCTACTGTACAGTGACCCTGTAATTTGTTTTTTAAGGTCATTAAGTTTTGTATAAGGCTTGCAACTCCCGATATTTTAGATGAAAATGCTGTTTTGTTGTTTGAAAAGTGACATCTTTTGCATGCAGAATGAAACAACGTGGCCAGTTCTGGTGCATTTCTTATTGAAATGTCCAAATAAAAATGATCACATTAGTAAATTCACCACTTCTGCAAATTCATAATATAAATATAACTTGTCAAGCGTTTCTTTTCACTCCGTCTTTCGATCATTATGTATTTATCTATATTCACCAGTTTTCACGAAATGACATTACAGTATCCCCAGCCA